ACTACACACACACACACACACACACACACACACACACACACACACACACACACACACACACACACACACACACACACACACTACCAGGGCGTCGTGGATGTTTGAGGTGGACGGTTTTCATCCGCAGAACGAGAGCTTCACGTGGACGAGGGGCGGATTCCAGGGCGCGCGCGGCAGCGACAGCGGCGCGGAGTGGTTCATTGAGAACGTGTTTGAGGAACTTGACGCGCCAAACGAATACTACTACGATGCACGCAAGGGCGCGGTGGGTCACACGGCAGGGTGGTGGTGGAGGTGGTGGTGGTGGTGGAGGTGTTGTGCTATTGTTATGATGGTGGTGATACGGAGTAGAGGTTGCAAAGGCGCGTGCATATCATTGTTCCTGTCATGCCCACATGCATGCACTCGTTGGCATGTGTGCTCACGTGCAAATGTACCACCTCCCCCCCCCCCCCAACACGCACGCACACACACGCACGCACACACACACACACACACACACACACACACACACACATCCATCCTGTGTGCCAGCTGTATCTGTACTACAACGGCAGCGTGGGCACGCCCCCGCCCGCCTCTGGCGTGGAGGCGACGAACTTGAAGGTCCTCATCTCTGCCGTCGCCGCCCAAGCCGATCCAATCACCAACCTCACCATCAGGTGTGCATGTGTGTATGTGTATGTATGACCATGTGTGTGTATGTATGGCCATGTGCGTGTGTTTGTATGACCATGTGTGTGTGTGTGCTTGGGTGTGTTCTACATGATGTATCAGCTATTCAAGCAATGTCGCCAACGGTACAATCATTGTCACGTGCTCATCGTTGGTCGATCGTCTGTCCCAATGATCGCACTCAGGGGTCTCCACTTCCGTGATGGCGCGCTCACGTACATGGATCCACACGGCATGCCATCAGGTTTCATTCAACCCGCATGCGCTTGCTCCAAGTTTGATATTTGGTTGATTGGTTGATTTTGTGTATGCATAAGTGTATGTGCCTTTGCACCTGCACCCCACATCACTCGTACTTGGTGGTCTTCAACTCTAAATTGTCCTTCCACCTCTCACTGCTGCTTTCTCGCCCCCCATCACACACACACACACACACACACACACACACACACACACACACACACACACACACACACACACACAAATGTCGTGCAATCAGGCGGCGACTGGGGTCTGCAGCGCACAGCGCTCGTCTTTCTCGAGGGGACAGAACACGCGTTGGTGCAGGTGCGAACAGCACGAATGCATCCACGCCTCGCCATACGCACACGCACACATGCGCACACGGGAGTGTCTCATTCTCCGTCCGGCTCTCTGCTCTTTTGTTGAACGGTCAAATAATGAATCACACTTTAGTCCCGGCATCATCTTCATCACCACCACCACCACCACCACTGCCACCATTCCAACTGCCATCATGGGTGTCAGGGGTGCAACTTTACGCGGAACGACGGGATTGCGCTGATGCTCTCCGGATACAACCGATTCGCCACCATTCGGGTGAGGTGGTTGCAGCCCCGATGGTGGTGATTGATGGCTATGACGGTGCTGATGATGATTGATGGCGGTGGTGTTGGGTAACTGTACGTGAGGTCCTCGTTGACAAACGGGCATGCACTCGGGCATTCACACACTCTCTCATGCACACACATACACCCACACTCTCATGTACACACATGCACACACATACACACATGTGCACACACATCCACACATTGAACACGCGCGCACAATACGCGCCTGCAGGACAATGAGATTGTGCTGAACGGCGATTCTGCGATTGCTGCGTGGGGGTACACTGATCGGATTGACGCCACAGGGGGCGCGCAGCCACGCCTGTCCACCATCGCCAACAACTTCGTGCACGAGATGGGCCTGTATGAGAAGCAGAGCAGCGCGTGGTTCCAGGGCAAGACGGCGCAGACCACGCTCAGCGGCAACATCTTCTTCAACGGCCCGCGCGCTCTCATCAACTTCAACGACGGAATGGGCGGAGCGAACGTCGTTGAGGACAACCTGCTGTTCAACTCGTGTCGCGAGAGTTCCGACCACGGGCCCATCAACTCGTGGGACCGCCAGCCGTTTCTCACGCGCGTCAACACGGGCGAGGCGTCCCTGGTGCCGGCATACACGACGATTGGCAGCAACTTTGTTGTTGCCAACTACGGCGCTGATGGCGGCTGCTTTGACACCGACGATGGCAGCAGCTTCTACCTCGTCACCAGGTCTCAAGCAATGGGGAAGGGGGGAGTGATTGGCAACGGGGGAGAGGGGGGTGTGATGTGGACGCTTGTGCAAATATGTGTATGTGTGTGTGTGCATGTGTGTGCGTGTGTTTGTGTGTATGTGTGTGTGTATGTGTGTCTGTATGTGTGTCTGTATGTGTGTCTGTATGTGTGTGTGTATGTGTGTCTGTACGTGAGTGTGTGTATACGTTCAGATTAAGATTTGCTTTGCATGAGCACCACATCTCAATCATTCACCCTCATCCCTCCTCGTTGCCAGCAACTTCTTCGTGTATGGCGGACACAAGTCCGACTTCAACGGCCACAACAAGCGCTCCGAACACAACATCAACGCATACCCTCAGGTGTGCACGCGCGTGCATATGTGTACATGTGCGTCTGAACGTTGTCAGGGTGTGTGTATGTGTGTGTGTGTGTGCAGGCGCGTCGTCGTTGTGCCATTGTTCACGCTTGTCACGTACATCTGTGGCCTCTGCGACTGCCTGCAGGTGTACGGCCCGCGGTGTCTGTCTGTGCCGCTGCCGGATCCAAAGCTTGGGCGGCAGTGGAGCGAGGGCTACTCGAACTGCACGTGCATCCTCGCTGACGAGGGCGGTGTGTATCTGAACATCGACAACTGCGACGGCGTGACACCCGACACCATCACACTCATTCTCGGCGACAACAAGGTCTACGCACCAAACGGCAAGGTGCGGTGGCCATGCACCTGTGTGTGTGTGTGTGTTTGCATGTGTATGTGTGTATGTTTGCATGTGTGTGTGTTCGCATGTGTATGTGTGTGTTTGCATGTGTATGTGTGTGTTTGTATGTGTGTGTGTGTTTGCATGTGTGTGTGTGTGAGAGTGTGTGCGTGTATGTGTTTATCAATCTGTTGGTTTTTTGTTTTGTTTTGCCGACTGCGCCGCCTTCTCATACGCCCCTCCCTTTGTCTCCACACCACACACGCTTGTGTGTATTCGTCCCCCAACACATCCCCACACATGTCCCTTCCCGCTCTCCAAACTCAACGCCTTTCCCCTTCCCTCCTCCTTCTTCTTGTCT